CGGGGATTGAACTCAGGCCCATGCACTTGCCAGGGAAGCACTTATTCCCCTGAGCCACCTCCCCGGCCCCGACATATGACTTTTTGTTGTTGTTGCTGTTGTACTGGAAATTGAACCAGGGCCTTTACACTGAGCTATCTATCTACTCTCCACCCCACTTTTTTTTTTTTTTTTTTTTTTTTTTGTATTTGGTTGTTACAGGCTCTCATTACACAGCTCGGACTCATAGTGATCCTCCTGTTTTTCAGCCTCCCTATAGCTGGTATTACATGCATGTACCACCATTCCTGGACTCAGTGGCTGGCTCAGCCCACCCTGGGGCGGGGCTGGTGCGGCATGTGGTACAAGGGATCAAACCACAGTCCCTGTGCTTGCCTAAGCTTGCCTAAGTAGGTCCTTTAGTCCACTGAGCTATCTTGCTGGCCCAACCCCATTTTTTTGAGACAGGGTCTCACTAGCTAAGTTGCCCAGGCTGGGCTCAAACTTGTGATCCTCCAGCCTCAACCTCCCAGAGGGATGGGAGTACAGACCCAACAATATTATGAACTCATTTTCCCTTCACAATAATCCCATGAGGTAGGTATTAGTACTATTCTAATTAGTATGTGCCATTTTACACATGAGGCATCAGATGTTAAGTAATATGCCCCAGATTAGCAAGTAGCAGAGCTGTAATTTGAACCCATGAAGCCTGGTTTTTACCCCACACCACACTGAAAAAAAAAAGCACAGTAGCACTTGCTGCCTCTTCCCACAAGAGGCTCTCCTAGCAGATGTAAATGCCCACAGGTGGCAGCAGAATGCTGTCCCCTCTCCATCCCCCAAAGGTTTTGACTTACTCCTGGAAGGCTGGTAGCACACTGACTGACTCTTCTTGGGGGAGGCTTTGAAATGGTGAGATGGAATGTGAATGCTGTGGGTATACCTGGGGCCTGGGAAAGAAAGCAGATACCCTGATGCCAGCCGCTTCCCTGGGCTCCATACCTTGGGAATGAGAATCCCTTTCATGGAAAGGAAAATTCCCTGCTTTGGCCCTCAGCACCCACTCTCCCAGCTGCCCATCCCGAAAGCCTGTTTGCATGGACCACTCCAATTCCTGTCTCTCCTCACATCCTATCTTGGCCAAGCTGCATGCTCACGGAAGGATCAGAGGTCATTCCAATATCATAAGGGGACACCATGGCAGGCATCTGGGGCTCCGGGGTGGGAAGAGGCTGGTCCCTAGAGAAGAGAAGGAGCACATGTAATGAAGAGCTGAGCCTGCCACTCCTTCCTCTATACAAGTGCCAGCCTTCAGATCCCACCTGCCATCCACACACCCACACTCACCTTTCTACCGTCATCTTGATGGTAGCTGGGACATAACCCCTGCCATCCTTACCCATCTGTTCAGCTGTTGTAGGAAGGAAGGAAGGAAGGAAGGAAGGAAAGAAAGAAAGAAAGAAAGAAAGAAAGAAAGAAAGAAAGAAAGAAAGAAAGAAAGAAAGAGAAAGAAAGAAAGAAAGAATAACCATGAAGTGCTCTAGGTTAGGGAAGAAGGGAACTAGCAAGGTTGTGGAGACAGCTGATGGGCATGTGGAAGAAGCACTACAAAACTGGGGAAGGAAGCCAGGGATGACATACAGCAGGTAGGCAGGGACATGGGTGTGGCTGGGAGCTGGGTGAGGTGTGCAACAGGAAGGGATCAGAGCTGCCAACAAGAGCTCACGCTTATAATGGCTCCGGAAAGCCTCATCCTTGGGTTTCTTGGGGTAGAGGTTTTTGAGCTGAGCAAGATCCCGAATTCGGTCCCCCAGTGAACGAATAGACAAGTCTTTGGCAGAGAATGGCTGGATGTTCTCTATCTGTGGTGAACCTATGAAAGGAATAAGACCCTGGATCTTCTCTGTCTAGACCTCCCCTTCCCAGCCTACAACAGTATCCATTCTCAATCCAACAAGGTAAGAAAGCATTTAAGGGTGGGGCTGTTGAGAGAGGGAGACCCACAAGTCTTCACTGCTGTGAGCTCAAAGAGAGAGATGGAATTTACAAAGTGGAGGTAGAGAAGTTGAACCTAAAGAAAAACTTCCTGAAGACCACATTGGCATCAAGGAAGGCCACAGTATTTCCTTCCCAGAAGAAACTTGAGACAGAGGCACTGGGGCTGGGGTGACCTCACCATCCTGCCCCCGGATGACATGAGCAATGGTGATGCCTCCAATCTCTGAGTCACTGAAGCGGAGCAGGAAGGTTCCATCGGGCTCGCTGAGAAGGAGGCTAGTGACGTACTGTTTGCTGATGAAGCCAATGATCAGCCTGGCCAGGATGAAGAGGACCAGGTGGGTGTAGGCCCTGGGTGTGGAGAGGGAGCCAGAGGTGCAGCTGCTCAGTCCACCTAGGGCAGGGAGGGACTCACCGGTCTGACCAGTAACTCCGCAGACAGCGTTTGGTAAGGTCTAGGACACCATCAAACCACTGCCAAAAGGTGAAGCCCCGGCCCAGCAGAATCTCCTAAGGAGTAGTGGAGAGAGCTAGGGTGAGTCAGGGAGGGAGGTGGACAGAGCCCCAACCTGGTTAAGGCAATCACTGTGCTGTGCCCCTCCCCCAACAGTCAGCACTCATACCATGTGCCAGGCACTCTTCCAAGCCTTCCCAAATATTATTGACCTTTAATGTACCCCAAGCTGGCCTCAAACTCACAGAAATCCTCCTGCCTCAGCCTTCCAAGAGCTTCAATTACAGGTATGTGCCATCATACCCAGCTACTATTTGATCTTTACAAGACTATGGAGGAAAGTACTATCATAATCCTATCCTATGGGGGCCAGGGAGATGGCTCAGTAGGATAAGCGCTTGACTGGCAAACGCAAGGATCTGAGTTCAATCCCCGGTTCCGCCAAAAAAAAATATAAAATAATAATAATAATAATCCTATCCTATGGCAGTTGATTAAAGTCACATAACTTACTCAAGCCAACAGAGCTGGTGAGAGGTAGAGCTGGGATTTTAAGCTCAGGCAGTGTGGCCTTGGAGACCCTCATAACCACTGTGCAAGCTGGCCTTCACTATAATAAGGCTGTATAATAAGGCTGGCAGAGATAGAGACAGAGGAAATGGACCTGCCAGCTATAATTGTCCTGCTCCTTTTGCTAACACATCTTCTAGTCACATGGGCTGCTCTTGCTTCCTTTTTTCTTTTTAGAGCAGTACATGGCTGTGTTTACCCAGCTGGGTGTCAACCAACACACCAGCACTCCTCATGTTCTTGTAACATGAGGTGACCCTCAGAGCAGAGGAATTTTCTTGCCTGGGCCACAGCAAAGACTTTCCTGATAGACATGATGGGGCTCTGTGAAGATCTTAGTGGCCTGTCCCTGTGCAGAAGCTGGGGAGGCCTTGAATGCCCAGAGAATGAGGAGTTTTAGGGAGGGAGGTCCAAAGAGCAGGGGAGTAACCTTGTTAAACTGTGACCAGGACACAGAACGGTGCTGGAAGGCCTCCATGCTAAGGCTGCTGTCATTGAAGATCTTCTGGGCCAGGAAGAGGAAGTGCTCTGGGAGCAGTCCCTGATTGGTCCCCACCTCAGCCATAAACTTGAGGTTCAGAGTTTCACACATCTTCTCCCAGGGCACCCGCTCAGCCACCACAAAAGGCACACGATCCTGGGAGGAGGAGAGAGCACCTCAGGTTATCCTCAGGCAATTCATCTTCCCGGTCTTCCCACCCTACTCCGTCTCCTGAGCTGGCCAGTGCTTTCATTATGGCTGTACTGGCCTTTGCTGCTACAGCATGATAGCTGTTAAGGCTGGGATAAAGAGGCCAGAAGCATGAAACCAAGCCCAGGAGAAGGAGTTAAAGTCAAACACATTTGAATATGACTGCCAACCACCAGCCAGCACATCCCCATGGTAGAACCAACCCTGTGTCCCAGCCCTCACTCTGGGTCTTTCCTTACCATCTCAGAGAAGGCATTGTCCCACAGGATAGTGGCTTTCGCATTGTTGTCTTGGTTGCCATGGACAATGACCACCAAGGGCAGAGACAGGGCCTGCAGAAGTGAAGCATTTTCCCGTTAGTTAGCAAGAGCTGTCCTTAGGAGGCTGGCTGCAGAAAACTCACACAGCAGAGTTAAAGAGGCTGTGGCCTGTGACTGAACGCTTTCTGGAGCTCAAAGAGGGCCTCAACGCAGAGAAGTGACTGCTTTGCAGCCAGGCTTCTGGGCTCAAATACCAGCCCCAACTCTTAGTAGCTGTGTTACCTGGATAAACTACTAAATCCCTCTGTGCCCCATCTTATCTGTAAAATGAGGCTAGTAATACAGTACAAGAAGTTCCTGACATACAAACAAGTTCTTTCCTGGGAGAACATTCCTCAGTTGGATTAGTTGGTAAGTCCAACAAAATGAGTCTTACATACCACACAAATATACAATGTAAAGCACATAAAAACCAAAAGTGAAGTCTGTTTGTATCTGTGACAGTTTGAAACTCAAATGTTCTTAAGTTGGGGACTTGCTGTAGTCCCTACTCTTTAATGTCACTGTGAAAAGCAAATGTATGTATGTAAACAGTTACCTAGTGCATAAGACGGAATACCCATAGCCCCACTTCTCCCACTCACCTTGGCCACAGTATGTGCAATCCCATATGCATGAGATACAGGGCAATTAGGAGGAACCCAGGTGTATGGCATGGATGGAGGGACTTCAGGTCCAGGACTGAGGTGGGGCTGAGGCCAAGGCTCACCTGGAGCTGGATAGGGAGTTTGTTGGGGCCAAGCAGAAAGCTGGTGGAGAAGAGAACCGCACACTTCTCCTCAGTGACAGATTCAGTGCCCTTCCGCTCACATCGCTTGATTTTCTTCAGGAGCTGTGAGGGATGAGGCAGAGCAGGGGTGAGGACGTAAGTGCAGAGATTGCTTCCCCAGGGCTCCAAGAACATCACCCCTCACGGACCCCAGCCTCCTCTCTCCCTGTCTCTGCACCCAAGAGCCCCTCACCAGATTCTTGAAAAGGGCAGAGCAGCAGTTCCCAGGAATGCTGTTCTCCAGCGGCACTGTGTTGTTGATGATCTCCCCGGTGCTCTCTCTGCCAGGGGATCAGAGTGTGAAGGAGCTTATTTCAGCCGGGCCAGGCACGGTGAGGACCTTCACTCCATGTGGGAATTGTGTGGACCCACAGTCACTGGCCCCAAACCTCTATGTCCCTGCTTGGCTTTTTTTTGTTTGTTTGTTTTTGATGCTGGGGAGTGAATTCAGGTTCTCTGAGAGGATTAGCTCCAGCCTTAGCTCCCAGCCCTTAGCTCCCTGTTTGGGGTTCCTCCTCCTCCTCTTACTCCTCCTTCTCTTCTAACAGAGTCTTGCTGTATAGTCTGTGTAGTCCAGGCTGGCCTGCCTTTTGCCTCAAACTCCCATGTACTGGGATTACAATACCACTGTACCCACCAGCTTGGATTCTTTTTTGCCATTTTTTTTTTTTTTTGAGACAGGGTCTTGCTATGTAGTTAAAGCCTTGTCTTGAACTCACTATGTAGCCCAGGCTGGCCTTGAACTCCTGGTTATCCTCCTGCTTTGACCTCCCAAGTGCTGGGACTACAGGGGCGAGCCACCCACATCCTACTCACCTGCCTCGATTCTTAAGGGAGGATTAGCATTTTGGCCAAATCTGATGCCTCTGCCCTACTACATAATGAACAGGTCCCTTCCTTTCCTCTGCCTGGACCACCCAGGGTCCCCACACCCCATGCCTTCCTTCCTCATTCTTCTGGTCTTTATGGTGCCAACACCCGGGCCCCCAGCTCTTCTTGGCTCCATGAACAAGAAAGCCATCTCCAGCCCCAAGTCCAGCCCTGGCTTACGTTCCAGCCCCAGGCCCCTGGGTCATGCTCAGCTCCCTCGCCTGCTTCTCAGTCACCATGTCAGCCCTGACCATCGGAGGCTTGGCTGGAGCACCCAGGAACCGCAAGCCCAGCAGGAACCGAACTCCTGCCTGGAACTTAGTCTGAGTCTTCAGAACCTGTGGGGGCTGCTTCTCCACCAAGAAGGATCTGGGAGGTATGAGGAAGACACACTGGGAATTAGGCACTATCCTTTGCCTTCCTCAGAGCCCTATTCCCCTTCTTCCTTGGGGCTGCTCCAGGCCACGCTGGAGGTAGGGCGTACCTGGTGACGAGTGTCTGCAGGACTTCTTCCAGCCGGCTAACCAGTGATGCCCGGGTCTTGTGTTCAAGCTCCCCACCAGCTGCCCCTACCTCCTGCTGTAGCTGGGAATAAATGTCCACCAGGCTTTCACACCTGGGGCCAGGACAGTGGTCAGGGAGCACAAGGCACAGGCTAGATGTCTATTTCGGCCAAAGCCCCTTTCTGTAAATGGGGCAAGCAGTGGTGTGGCTGCAAGGCACCTGAGTTGAAGAAGGTTCAGGGACCTGTTTTGTAAATCAGTTTCTAGACTCTCTGTGGAAAGTGGGCTGCTTCTTCTCCAGGGCCCTGGTACCCAGGACAGCTGCCAGCATGAATCATGCTGGAGGGAAAATTAGAAAATGCCCTACCTACCAGACCAAATGGAAAAAGGCTCCCCATTCCTCAAGACAAGGGGCTTGACGACAGAAGCACAGGTTGCATGAACCCTAACTTGTGATACCTGGACTGAGCACACTTGTCCAGATACAACTGAACAACTGGCACACCCCTGCTGGAACTGGCATCTCTGACTCTTGGCTCGCGCCAAGGCCCTTCAACCTGGCATCTTCTCCCTCTCACCTGTGCTTCCTCCAGTAGGGACAGCAGATGCCCACACTAAGCACACCCTCTTTTCCCATCAGCTAACCTCTCCTGTAGTGTGGCCAGGCTCTCCTCAAAGGGTGCACCATTCCCCGCCAGCTGCTGCTGCCGTTTCCAAATCTGGATCCTCTTCAGCAACAAGGTCTGAGCCATCTCCAGCTCCCTAATGGTCTCCTGCAGCAGTGTGGCCAGTGCCTAAGGGTAGGGAAGAGCCTGAACCAGGGTCACAAGCTGTCTCCCCACCCAGCTCCCAGGAAATAGGACTCTTCTGACTTCTCTGCCATTCCCTTTCCTGCCTGTGTCCCTCTGAGGTCTAACTTTCATTCTTCCAACTATACTTTAAGCTCTATCTCCATCTTGCCATCCATTACCTACCTCACTTGGCCCAGTTCCATTGGCAGAAGTGTCTATCAAGCTGTGCAGAGACACTAAGGGTGGAGGCAGACATCAGATATGCAGATAGAAGCTCAGTCAAGGCTGAGGTCTAAAGGAAATCCTTCCCTCCCCTCCCACACTCTGCCTTGATGTGTCCTAGGACTTCAGGCCAGGCCTGCACCTTGTCTAGCTTCAGTCCCCTGATGCAAGGCTTCTCGGAGAAGGCGAATCTCCCCAGCTCGGTGCTGCAACCTTTGAAGGGCTGTGTTAAACTTGAGTTCTTCTTGCTTCCAATGGAAAGACATTGGCAGGTGGTGGAACTGCACAGGAGGAACAGGGGCCAACAGGTGAAACGCTCTGCCCATCCTTCTATGCTGGCCTTCACTCTGCTCCTCAGGAAACAAGACAGGCTATCTTCTCCCCTTTGGCCTTTTTTTCTGATCTGTAAGAATCCTCTAGAGATGAGACCTTTCTCCTAGAAGAACCAGCTTCCTACTCCTTGCTCTGTTCTCCTAGACCCCATTGTTTCCAGTCTTATTTGAAGGTTCCCTGAACTTGCTGTTGGTTCACTCTCACTCCAGGGATTTGTTTCGGTCATCCTGGGCCTACAGCACTGGGTCTTTTGTGAGTTTCATATTCTTTCTAGTTTCTTATGAGTGAACCTAAAGTTTCAAGGAGTTGCCTTGGGGTGGGAAGAGGGATATCACAATACCTGTTCCATAACAGCTTTTTTCTCTCCTTGAAGTATTTGTCTGAAAGTGGCAACAAGTTTCAGAGGGTCCCTCTGATATATGCTCTATGGAAGTGACAGTAGTGGACAGTTAGCCTGACTCTCACCTGTGTCCTCCTCCCCTCTGATCCCCAAGCTCCTATTCACACAAGCACTGAAAGGCAACACAACTGCAGATTCTAGAAGTCTTAAGCATTTGCAGGCTTTTAAAATCTAATTTTCAGGTTAGCTAGAAGCTAAGCAGAGATACACTATTTACTTTCAACATCTTCCACCATCCAACCAATTTTCTTCCAGCATCCATTGCTCAGCCCAGCTGTGTCTCATCCCTCCCTCTCCCCTCGTGCTGCCCCACCTCCAGAGTGCTGATATGCTGCAAGATGGTGCTGCCCTCTCCCTGCTCTCCTGCAGAAGCCTGAAGGCGCTGGACGGTGGCTGAAAGTAGGGCACTTGCCACGTTGCAACAGAAGGCATCTGAGCTGACCAGGAACTCCCTGTGGGAATGTCAAGATGGGGTGGCCTCAAGCCAGAGCTTCCTCAGATCTCTTGATCCTCCAGCCCACTTCCTTCTCCTTTTCTCCATCTAGGTCCTCTACACTGTCACCCATGTCCCTCACTCCTCAGTCTTCCAGCTTTTGTACAAAGTGATTCTGCTCCGATGCTTACCTCCCTCCTCTTTGACTCAGACTCCTGAGAGGTAGAATATCTCTAAGCCAACACATGAGTCTGTTCCTGCTAAGTCTAGGCCACCACAAGTGGAGTAATGGGTCACAAGTTCCAAATTCCAGGTGGAGGATATAAAGGAAAGGAAAGTCAGGAAGAGGGAACGTGGGTAGAACTCACCATGGCTGGTTCTCCAGCCAGTCACCTAAGAGATGCCTCAGGTGCTGAGGAAAGTCAACATAAAGCCGCTGTAGTTTCTCTGGGGACATCTTAGAGACCAGACTCCACAGAGACATGATCTGGGGTTTGGAGGGTGCCTGGAAAAGAGGAACAAGGCCTTTTAAAGAAACACCATGGCCCAGTCTGGTGGTACATGCCTGTAATCTCAGCACTTGAGAGGCTGAAGCAGGAGTATCTCCATGAGTTCAAGGCCAACCTGGGCTAGTTAGTGAGTTCAAGACCAACCTGAACTATAGAGACCAGCTAAAAAAAAAAGAGGCACCTGGGGCTGGGGAGATAGCTCAGTTGAATAAGTACTTGCCTGGCAAGCACGAGGGACTGAGTTCAATCCTCAGCTCTGCAAAAGAATAAAATAAAATACAAGAGGCACCCAAGAAACACTTCCATTCTATGGGCCTTGATTTTCCCATTCATAAAATATGAGAGCTGAATGAGTAGAGAACTTTCCAAACATTTTAAAGCAGTAGACAATTTTAGCTTTTTTTTTTTTAATGAGAAGAATATATTTATTGGGGGGAAAGAAGGCTCCAGTCCGAGAGAAGGACAGGAGGGGGACCCCAAGTGGGTGGTCCCCCAACAAGTTTAGTTTGTCACCCCTTATCTGGGTGGGACATACTCCAAGACATTGGATGAGTACTTGAAATTGCTAATAGCAACAGAAATACAGATACCATCAAACTCTGTATCTCCTATATGGTTTGTTTTGTTGGTGTTCTTTGGTCCTAGTGATCAGAACTAGAGCCTTTGCTTTGAATTACATCCTCGGCTCTATTTTATTTTTTATTTTTGAGATAGTGTTTTGCTAAGTCACTAGTTTGCCCAGGGTGGGCTCAAACTTGCTCTCCTCCTAGCTCAGCTCCCACAATGCAGGAATCCCAGGCATGTGCTACCACAGCCAGCTTGCTTTTTCCTACACACACGTGCCTACGATAAAATTTCATTTATCAGTTAGGTGTAAGAAAATTAATAATACTCATGAAATAGGACAATTGTAAGACCAGTACAATAAAAGTTACACCTTAAGAATTATTTATTTCTGGTATTTTCCATTTAATATTTTCAGACTGCGGTTTACTAAAGATAACTGAAGCTGTGGAAAGTAAAACTATGGATAAGAGGTGACTGCTGTACATAAAAAGTATAAAACTAGCTGGGTGTGGTAGCTCACACCTATAATCTCAGCACTCTGGAAGGTAAAGCAGAAGCATCATAAATTCAAGTATAGGGCCGGGGAGATGGCTCAGTGGAATAAGTACTTTCCCGGCAAGCACAAGGGCCTGAGTTCAATCCTGGTTCCAGCAAAATAAATAAATAAATAAATAAATAAATAAATAAATAAATAAATGCAAGTATCACCCGGGAAATACAGAAAATTAGATCTTATTTTAAGAAAATAGGAGCAGGGCTGGCCAAATATCTCAGCAGATTAAAGCGCCTGCAAGCAGGCGCAGGGGCCGCAGTTTCAATTCCCAGGCCTGCCATGCTGGCACCGCCTCCGGGGCATGCTGAGATGGCAGTTGAGATTGGGCACCAATTGAGACTGGGCATGGTGACATGCATCGGTAGTCCCAGCTCTTGGGAGGCTGTAAACAGGCGGATCACTATGAGTCCAATCTATGCAGTGAGACCCTGTAAATCCCATATACCCTGTACCAAATACATAAAAAAAAAAAAAATAGAAAGAAAAAGAAAATAGGGCTGGTGATATAACTCAGTGGAAGCCCCTTATGGGGTTCAATTGCTAATACCCCTCCCCAAAAGAGTATAAAACTAGAGGATGTTGCAGCCAAGTGTGAAAGGCCTAGAATTCCACTGTGTGTCTACCTGCTCTCTGCACCACCTAACCCCAGTTCTGTCCTGTCCCCTGAAATACTCTCAAAATTCTAAGGCTCCATCAGATAATTTGGAAACCACTATGCCATATGATGAAGAGAATGACAGCATGGTAATAATAGGTTGCAACCACTTTTTTTTTTGGCAGAACCAGGGATTGAACTCAGACCCTTGTGCTTGCCAGGCGAGTACTTATTCTACTGAGCCATCTCCCTGGCCTCAGCATGGTAATAATAGGAAGCTTGAAGTGCAACAGTAGGACTTAGGAACTAATATGTTCTCTATATTCTCTTATTAGTAGCTCACAATTTTTTTCAGCACTGGGGATTAAACCAAGGCTTTGTGTATGCTAGACAAGCGCTCTACCACTAAGATATATCCTCAGCCCCCCCTCCCACAATACTTTTTAAAAGTATATAATTGCTCCCTTTCATAGATGAAGAAATCCAGGCACAGAGATGGTTCCCTAACTGGCCCAAGGACACTTGGCAAATGAGTTGGAAAAACCAGGCTCTGAATCTGAGTAGGGATTAACCTCCACATGGTGCTTTAGTGCCCCTTCCAGCTCCAAATGCATAGTCCTAAAGGGAGAGGGTGCAAAGAGACAGAGAAAAAAGAAAGTAGAGAGATGAAAGGAAGCATTGGTTTCCCTTATGCCCAAGAGAGACCAAAGGAACAGCAGGATTAGTCAGGCTAGAGTTGAGTAGCTGAGGAGAGGGGAGAAGAATGCTAGAGGTCTAGAAGGCCAAGAGGAGAGAAGCAAAGTGGGAAGAAGGAAAAGAGGAGATGAGGAAGTAGGGGAGAGCCCTGCTCCCCATTTTGGAAACAAGGGGCTTCCTCAGTTGAGCTGAGTAAACCAATAGTTTCCCAGGGGTCTCTCCCAGGTAGTCTTTCATAATGTCCCTCTTCCAGAGACAAAGGTGAGGATGGGATTGAAACCTCTTGGATGTCCCCTGACCCAGGAACCTAAATCCTACTGTTGCCCCTCAAGCTTCTTACCTCTCCCAGGGCTCCCAGAGGGTGGAGAACAGAGGCCGCTTATTCGACATTCCCATTCTAAGACCTGCTTGACCCTCTCCCATCCCTACTTCCCACAAGCTTTTCCCTTCCTGCTCAGGGTCCCCAAGTAGGTCTTTCTCTAACCATCCTTCCTCCTCTCCTCAGGATGGGGCACTTTTTGTAGTGCCATTTAGTCTGTGTTTCAAATTCGAGGGAGAACTTCCTTCCTCTCTTCTCTTTTACTCCCATCATCTGCAGGGTGATCAGATTCCAAACCCTTATGCCCAAGGCAGGGAGGAGCCTGAGTCAAGGTAACAAACTGCCTCCTCATCCAGCTCCCAGAGGGAGGATTTCTTTTGCTTCCCTGCCATTCCCTTTCCCTTGGGAGGAAAGGGAAGACCCTCCCGCCCAGCCCCTTTTCCTCTACATCACCCTGTTGAGTGGACAGTTCTCTGGCATAGCCCAAGTTTTGAATTTCCAATTCTTCTCTTTCCCCAGACCTCAGAAGGCCACATTTCTCCCTCCCTCTTCACCATAACAAGGCTGGGTAGAAGGATCTGCCTAGGACCGGGGCTCCTTTTGCTTTGAGACCCCTGGAGATGAGTGCGAGGAACCCTGTGAGGGGGCGGGACCAGCGATCTCTCCCAAGCCTCGAGGGGAAGCCCAAAACCCGAGAGTCCCATGCACCAACTCAGAGGCCTAAACCCCATTACCTTCACCTCTAGAGTCCCCATCCCTTTGCCTGTGGGACCACAGGATAGAAAATGGAAAGAGTTTCTCTGAGTTGCCCAATGTGTGTGTGGAGTGGGGGCAAGGCGCGGGTAGGAGGAACCAGGTCAGCACGAGGAGGGTTAATCCCGCGCAGCCCAGCCACCCCCCTGCCCGCTGGGAAATCTTGGCGTCTATGGCAGCCCAGCGTGCAGCAGTTTTGAGGGGGAAATTCCCCCTCCTCTGGGGCACCATGAGGTCTACTGAGGCTCACCCGTCCCCCTCCCCTCCGGCCACACCCTTGAACAGGAACTTTTAGCGGGAGACAGAAGTTTGACGAGAGCCCACTGCCTGGGCCATCAGCCTCCTAGGGTGGGCAGCCACTCCTCCCACACGCAGAGGGACCCTCCCTCTCCTCCTCTCCCCAACTTCCCACGTCCTGGAGGTGGGAGGTGGAGAAAGTAACCCGCGGTGGAGGGGAGTGCAGAGGCCTGTGTCCACTCCAGCTAGCAACATTAGCTGAAACAGTTTCTGGGAGACCATGCGCCCCGCCCAGGAGAGGACCCCAGAGGTCCCGCTAAGCCATCCCCCCACTGTCAGCCCACCCCCCATCCCCTCACCTCAGCACCCCTCTGTGGTCTTCTCCCTCTCTCAGCGGCCACTGCCTGGTCCCATGGGTCTGTAGTTCTGTCCAGTAAATTCAGGGCTGGCCCTGCTGGCACTCCCTCCACCACCACCACCAAAAAGTAAAAAACAACACACACACACACACACACACACACACACACACACACGCACACACACACACACACACACACACACTCCTCTCCTGGCTTTCCTCTCCAGTGCAAGCAGTGGCTGCCCAGCCTGCTGTTTCCGGCTTCTCTTCTACCCAGGTCCCTCCCTGGAGCTCTGACGACACAGAGAAGAGAAAGTGGGCTGGAGGAGGAAGAGGAAGAAAGTGGGGTGAACATGTGTGCCTCCCGCTCTGGGTGGGGAACCACGTCGTGGAGAAGTGTGCAGGGCGGGGGCTCCCGGCCTTGAAGCCAGGTTGGAGGGAAAGAAGAGCCCCGCTTGCTGTATCCCTCTCAACAGTAATCAACTTTTCTTCACGTAGGATCAAGCACAGAAGCCCCAACCCGAACTGCGGGTCTCCCACACTCAAACTTTTCAGGATTTGGGGTCACGAGGGACAGAGATCTCTGGGGCCTCTGGAAAAGCAAATCCCTGTGGGCTCTGCGCTCCCTCCAGTGGAGGACCCTGAAAAGCAGCCGAGGAGCTCGAGGCTGTCTGACTCCCAGCTTCGCCTCCCGCCTCGGCGGGAACGCCTTAGAGGTCGCGTGACCACTGTGACAGCCGTGGAGGAGGTGGAGGAGGGGAGCCCTCAGCTCCGAATTCTGGAAGCCTCTAGGAGTTCCTGAGAACGAAGACCATCTTTGTCCGTTCCTCGCAGAGCACCACTCCTCAGACGCCAGGGGTAGCCAGCACCAGCAGGAGTGCTGCCTGCCGATCCCCAAGGACAAGTTTGAATACGAATATGCTGCGCAGCCTTGGCGAAGTTCCTGTTTCTGGGATAAATATTGAGGCACACCCGGAAACAAATACAAGCACAACTTCCCCGGCTACAAGATTGCACACATACACACACGCGCGCGCGCGCGCGCACACACACACACACACACACACGCACGCACGCACGCACACATACTCGCTGAGTCACCCACCACCCTAACCAGTGGAGTGTTTGCGTGCAGTTTTGGCTGTGTGCACAGTTAGAGCAGAGACCCTATGGAGTTTTGAAGACTCCCAAACCTGAGTCTGATATGCAGAAAGGGCGGTGTCGGAGGGGGCGGCTGGAGGAATTTTCTACTCCCCTTCTCTCTCTCCGCGACTGGCTGAAAGGCAAAAGCTAGGCTTGTGCTGCCCCCTGGCGTCTGAACTGATTTCTCTCCTTCCCATCGGTAAACCCTCTCCTCAGTGCTGAGTGCAGAGCGCTGAGTTGGGGGGTGGGGGAGAAAGTGCTGAGTACTGAGGGCTGAGTAGGGGCGGGGAGAGGGGTCCCGTAGTCATCAGAGGGTAGGAACCCGCTACAGGATACAGTAATTAAGACCTTGGACTCGACATGGGCCATATAGGTCCACATCCTGCCGGTACTGCTAACTGCACAAGCCTATGCAGTTTAGTCTGTGATTCCGTTTTTGTTTTTTGTTTTTTTTTTTCATTTGTAAAATGAGCAAATAACTTGATAAGGTGATGAGAATGAGGAATATGACCTCTTAGAACTGGCCTGGCATATAGTGCACATAAGATGCTGTTCATGTGGTCCAGAATATGCCTGGTATGAGGAAGGCAAAGGGTCTCGTCCTACACCGGGACGGACCCCTGGCCACAATCCGAACCTACCCGAGGTGTGTGTATTTGATGGCTTTACACCTTTATTTATGCACCCAGGTGCCCAGCCTGCCTGCAGATATCCACAGATGACAGCGGGAACCACCTTTGTCCTGCAGGGTTTCAGGAGGACCAAGTCCCTAAAGACAAACAGGAAGAGAGGGAGAATAAGGGCAACCTCTGACTTTGGCTCCTTTTAAACAGTAAAAAGATGAGGTGCAGATACCGGTAGGAAAATAATATTTATTGTCTTCCTTTCCAACTGACTGCACCAGTTGGGGCACTGTGATGTCATACAGGCAAATCCAGCATCTAGAGGCAAATCTGGGTTGGCTCTGACTCCACCTTAGAGCTTTGTGATTGTTCGTTAACTCCTCAATTGAGGACCATTTTATACCTATTTCAACAGGGCCTAGAAAGCACTCTTCAGATTATGCAAGTACAGACCTTCAAGCAACACCCTACCTGCTTGATCCTGAAAGCGGGAGCCTTATTGCCAAATCCTTCTCTAGGTCCTGGCATCCCACCAAGTGGCTGTAAAAATTGTATGAGAAATCCAGGCCTGGTGATGCATGCCTATAATCCAGCACTTTGGGAGGCTGAAGCAAGAGGATCACAAGTTTGAACCCAGCCTGGGCAATTTAGTGGCTTAGCAAGATTCTGTGTCAAATTGAAAAATAGGAGCTACAGATGTAGTTCAGTAAGAAAGTCTTGGCTTCAATACACAGCAGCACCACCACCACCACACACACACAAAAAAAAAAAAAATCGCATGAGAGAAAGCATAGGGAACATAGCACTTTATAGTGTGTGAATTATGACCCAATAGTCACAAAACGAATTTGGTGACTATATTGTTTGCTAGTGCTGCCATGACAAAATACCACAAACTTGGTGGCTTAAACATGGGAAGTTATCTCACAGTACTGGAGGCTCCGAAGCCCTTCTGTGAGCTCTGAAAGAAGAATCTATTCCAGGTTTCCCTCCTTGGCTTGTCAACTGTCACTTCACGTTCACACAATGTTCTCTGGATGCCAGTCTGCTGCAGGACTTCTCCATTTTGTCGGTGTGCCCGTCGTATTGAATTAGGACATATTTCTGGTGACCTCATTTTAACTTTATTACCTCTCAAAATAAGATCACATTCTGAGGTCTTGGGAGTTAGGACTTTAATATATGAATTTTTGAGGGACATAGTTCAGCCCATAACAGTATCTTGACAATCACTATTACAAAATGAAGTTGAGTAGAATAGAAAATATCAGAAGATATCAAATAAAGAAAGATAAATATCATTATGTGAATCTTTCTGTTTTCTCTGTGTATCTAAATTCTGGGTCATCGGGCCGCGGAGATGGCTCAGTGGAATAAGCACTTCCCTGGCAAGTGCAAGGGTCTGAGTTCAATCCCCAGTTCCGAAAAAAAAAAAAAATCTGGGTTATTATGTAAAACTACATTTTAAGCAAGCTCTGTCCCCAAAACATTTGGATGTTGGTGACCATTTCATATCACTCTGCATCCCTTTTTTTTTTTTTAAATGTATTTGGTACAGGGTCTCACTACACAGCTCAGACTCATAGTGAGCCTCCTGTTCTCAGCCTCCCCAGATCTGGGATTACAGGTGTGCATCACCATGCTCAGACTGTGGCTGGCTCAGCGTGCCTAAAGGTGGGGTTGGCACAGCATGTGGTGCCAGGGATTGAACCTCGGTGCCTGTGCTTGCCTAAGCAGGTGCTTAGTCCATTGAGCTATCTTGCTGGCCCTATGCATCACCTTCAATTATTTAATGGACATACCTTGCTTCCTCAGCAAGAATATAAATGCATGGAGGGTAGGGAGTCATTTTACTGTGCACACTGCTATATAGAATCTTAAAAAGACAACCTGTATCCTTGCCAATAATGCACAAAGGTTAGCTGTGCTACTGAGTATCTGTCCTCAGACACTTACAGCTGAGAAATAAATTGGATTAGTTAGCAAACAACGATACTATAGAACAATCAGGGCTCTTACGTGCCTGAGTACACACGGGAGGGGAACCTAAACTAAGTAGGGGAGATCAAGAAGACTTTCTGGAGGAGGTAATTCCTGAACTAGATCTCAAAGGAAGAACAGACATTATTCAAGCAAAGAATAAGGAGAATATTGAGCTAGCAAGAAGCATATACAAAGGCACAGATACCTTCTGAGAACAGGTGATAGTTAACCAGGAGGATCACTAGAGAATTTTTTTAAGCATTAACGAATTTAAGCAGGAAAGTGATGAGATTTAGTACAGCAATCACCTTAGCTACAGCAAGAAAGATGGATTGAAGAGGTAGGTGTGAAGCCAGAAGCACCAGCTTAGGAGGTTAATGAACTAAAGGAGGCCATGTGGTTGAACAGCCCAGATGAAGCACTGTGGCACAGAGGCTGGTGCGGAAGAGAAGCGGAGGCATGGGGGCTGGTACTAGATGAGGAAAGAATTTAATTAAGGAGCTGAAAGTCTCAAATGACCTAAAGACCAGGATTCCAGGGAGCAAGAATGTGAAGAACCAGAGGGCTAAGGTGGTAGTTAGAGAACAGGCCTGCATTCCAGTCCAGCTCACCTGGGCGTGTGTTTCTACAGGTCATTACAGGAGTAAGTGGAGAGGGAAAAGGTGAGGTGCATCTGTCCATTCATCTATCGGTGGAGTTGAGTAGGGCAAAGAACCAAGGGGTGGCTGGGCTACCTGCTTGAGCACTGGGTTTGCAGAACACCTCAGGGAACTCAGGTGCCAAAATCTTCAAGAAGTGTGGTCAAGTCACCAGGACATCAGTAAATGGCAAGTAAAACAAGAACTAGGGCTGGGGCTTGTGAGTTAGCTCAGTTGATTAAAGCGTCTGCTTGGACAAACTCAGGAGCAGGGGACAACATTTCAATTCTCAGATTGAAAAGCCGCACTAGACCCGCCCTTAAGGCAGCCTGAGCTAGGCAAAGAAAGAAA